AAAAATCTATTGCACAATTTAATATCCCAGCAAATAAAAAAGTTCTCTTGAAAAATTGAATTCCCACAAACTTTTGACATGGAGAAATACCAAAATGGAAGCCGATTAAGTAACTCTTCGGGAGGGATCATTTCATATAAAGGGGTTACAACATGCCATGGTTTGCGGTACTTTTACGAAAATTCAAGTTTTGTGTAAGTCTCGGCTCGGTATTGTAACTGCCTGTTTTCCTTTAGTTTGTTGCCACCTTTTACATTCTAGAAAAATCTCTGCAAAGTTTAGAGCTGTATATCTTTTGAAATATTTTGTATCGGGTTGATGAATTTTCTTTTGAACACAAATGTGACACAAAAACAATGACATTTGTTTTACGGGTCTTAAATTTTATCCATGAATATCTTTAATCTGATATATAACATGATAGATCTAACGTACATGTACAGGGTATTTAAAATTATGGGGCTATGGTGTGATTTAAGTATTATTAATTATTTACAATAAATTAAAAGATAGGTTGCCAGGAAACGAAACATACGCCCACAGCAGCTAAATCGTCCGGGCAGTCAACAAGAGTTGTCACATATTTTTACTTTTTTCAGTAATGAAACATTTATAATACACTAAAATATGATTAAGACTAATAAGAGTAACAACTCATTAAAGATACATTATGGAAAGATTTGATAACGAGTTGGCAGTTCTCACTATAATAGTTAAAAACAAGATAATGTAAAGGCAATTTGCTGAAAATTTCATTCAAATTGATCCACTATGAACCAAAAACTAAGCGGTTGAAATTTCCTGGTAGCCTTGATCATCATTACTAAAGTCATAGTCTTTATTATCCATTTAATCGTTAAATCCTGAAGGAAAGTTATGCAGTAAATCGGCTCATAATCCACTAAAGATCCCAGGCTAGCGATGCCAACTAGTAGGGTTAATTATGGTCTGGATAGGTCAGTTTAAATGTCTAATTAATAATTTAGATAACATTTCAGGCCTAAAGAAAGACCTGTAATAGACAGATTTAGCTCTTGCATAATGGCAATGTATATGTTTAAGTAATTATCAGAAAATCATTAGAATTTGTTTGGTTTTTATCACCTACATTGAAATGTGGTCGTATATTGTCGTCGCCCCCGTCCGTCCGTCGTCCACAAGCAATTGTGGACGCTCTAGAGGCTAAAGTTAATATCCGATTGACTTTAGATTTATATACAGTGTTTAAGGTCATGAGACAAAGAAGCCTATTGATTTTCAATGATTTCCGATAATTACTGCCAGAGTTATGGCCCTTGATCACTTCAAAAAATCTTGTGGACGCTCTAGAGGCCAAAGTTAATATCCGATTGACTTTAAATCTATACAAGGTGCTTTAGGTCATAAGACAAAGAAGCCTATTGATTTTCAAAGATTTCCGATAATTACTGCCAAAGTTATGGCCCTTGATCACTTTGAAAAATCTTGTAGACGCTCTAGAGTCTAAAGTTAATATCCGATTGACTTTAAATTTATACACAGTGTTTAAGGTCATGAGACGAAGAAGTCTATTCATTTTCAGTGATTTTCGATAATTACTGCCAGAGTTATGGCCCTTGATCACTACAAAAAATCTTGTGGATGATCTAGAGGCTAAAGTTAATATCTGATTGACTTTAAATTTATACACAGTGTTTGAGGTCACAAGGCGAGGAATCCTATTGATTTTCAAAGACTTTTCTGATAATTACTGCCAAAGTTATGGCCCTTGATCACTTTGAAAAATCTTGTGATGCTCTAGAGGCTAAAGTTATCATCCGATTGACTTCAGATTGATACACAGAGTTTAAGATCTTGATACGAACAAGCTACGAAGAAGTCTATTTATTTTCAGCGATTTTTGATAATTACTTCACGAGTTATGGCCCTTGATCACTTTTAAAAATCTTGTGGACGCTCTACAGGTCAAAGTTAATATCCGATTGACTTTAAATTTATACACAGTGTTTAAGGTCATGAGACGATGAAGCCTATTGATTTTCAGTGATTTCAGATAATTACTGCCAGAGTTATGGCCCTTGATCACTTTAAAAAATCTTGTGGACGCTCTACAGATCAAAGTTAATATCCGATTGACTTTAAATTTATACACAGTGTTTAAGGTCATGAGACGATGAAGCCTATTGATTTTCAGTGATTTCAGATAATTACTGCCAGAGTTGACTTCAGATTGATACAATGAGTTTAAGAGCTTGAGACGAACAAGTATATTGATTTTCAATGAATTTTTATGACTTGAACAGCTAAATCCATGATATTAAAAGTTTTGTATACTAAAAGTTAGCATGGGGCAGAACTTTATAAAAACCAAACAAATTCTAATGGTTTTCTGATAATTACTTCATGAGTTGTTACTCTTAATCAGATTTTAGTGTATTATAAATGTTTCATTGAAAATCAATATACTTGTTCGCCTCAAGACCTTAAACTCTGTGTATCAATCTGAAGTCAATCGGATGATATAAGCCTCTAGAGCATCACACGACATTTCAAAGTGATCAAGGGCCATAACTCTGGCAGTAATTATCGGAAATTGCGGAAAGTCAATAGGCTTCTTCGTCTCATGACCTTAAACACTGTGTATAAATATAAAGTCAATGGGATATTAACTTTAGCCTCTAGAGCGTCCAGAAGATTTTTCAAAGTGATCAAGGGCCATAAATCTGGCAGTAATTATTGGAAATCGCTTAAAATCAATAGGCTTCTTCGTCACATGACCTTAAACACTGTGTATAGATTTAAAGTCAATTGGATATTAACTTTAGCCTCTAAAGCGTCCACAAGATTTTTTCAAGTGATCAAGGGCCATAACTCTGGCAGTAATTATCGGAAATCGTCGAAAATCAATAGGCTTCATCGTCACATGACCTTAAACACTGTGTATAAATTTAAAGTCAATCGGACATTAAATTTAGCCTCTAGAGCTTGTGGATGCCGGACAGACAGTCAGATGGACGCGACGACAATATAGGACCACATCTCAATGTGGGCGTATGAAAATAGTTGATGATAACGAATATATTTACATTATGTCATGAACAATAAACATTGCACCATATCACAGTACTGTCAAAACTGTCGAATCTTGAAGTATTGGTGCGCTTCTTATGAGATCTTACAGGTTTTTTAGCATTATAAACCCACCCAAGAGTCACTTCCAGGGCTGCCGCAACATGCTTATAGATGTCATTGAAACTGTTATTATTGGATTGAAAGAATGATATCAAATTGATGATACTCTCAGAAACTTGTAATCAGTCGTTTTTTGTATTTCAGAGGAGAGCCAAAAAAAGCTCCCCTCAATCAACAAATTGAAAAACTCACTCCCCTAAAAAGCTCTCCCAGTTTCGATAAGAAGAATGATTTAGAAATTAAGGAGAGTGATTTAGAAATTAAGGAGAGTGATCTGATATTAAGGAGTCAAGTGATTAGTTGTGTGTATGGGAAATGGTTATCTGAAGATCAATAACGGCATGTAAATTGTAATGGTGTCATTCCTAGTTTGATAAATGATAATAAACCCCCAATGACTCTGTAAAGGAGAGCAATTTTCAATTTCAGGGGAGGGAAAAAAAAACTCCCCTCAGTCGACATTCAGGTGAGCTACAGGCGCTCTAGAGCGATCACTCGCCTTAAAAAACAATGACTTGTAATTGTCTTCAGTTGATATATTACAATGCCCAAACTCAAACGATTGAAATGATGACACTTTGTTTTGATTGCAACACGTGGTTGTCAAAATCTCTGTCAAAGCTAAACCACCCCCACAACAGCTTCAATGGTTTCGTCCACCACGTGAGTAAAGCCATGTTGTTTTGAACTCTGTCAAACTACAAGTAAATATGTCAATTTTTTCAAGAGAGAACTTTTGCATTCGTTGGAATATTTAATTGTATAATGGATTTTATTTAACCGGAGGTGATTTCAAACACACAGGTAAGTTTAGAATAATCAAAGTTAAAGTAGCCAAGTCTCTAACTCAATATCATCCAAAATCTTCGACATTGAAAACACGATTTATTTGTCAGTTTAAATCAACATTGATGTTGTGATCTTACCGGGAAGAGATGGCCTTCTGATATCCAATATTTAAGACAAAATAAACATTTTACAATTGGTACACGAATCGTGTACCATAATGCGTTTCAGCGCTATTTGTAATAAGGGACTCAAAAAACGAGGCTAGGCATATTCCACAAGTCATGTCAAACGGTGACGCTATATTCTTATCTGGAGAGCAAGTCCAATAAATAAATTTGGCGTAGACTGGAATAACCAGACGCTAGAGATTGAAATTCGATTGAGAATACTGGCGTATTTCGCCGAACCTAACTGATTAAAAATTACAGTAAAAACAGAAACGATTGAATGTAAATCAATTTATATACATTCATATTACATTATTGTATGTGTTGCGACCCATTTGTGTCAATTTCTAGATCCCAAATATTAGCGACTTAGCTCCTTTAAGTAGTTTATTCATAATCGAAGAAATCTGTTTAAAATTTACAATGGTTTAGACATCAGTAGCTTCAGAATCACCTACATGTACATGCAGTGTATTCTTTTTTGTGTAGGTTGACAGCTAAATCAGCTGATCATGGAAACAAACCAGGCCAGCCATAATAGAAGATTGGTCTAAAAATAGACTTATATTATTATGATTCACAACAACAACAGTGTCAATTCTAGTACTTAGTGGGGTGTTTGTTTCACTCAAGCTGTGTGGCAGTCACTTGTCACTTATGCTTATTCCATAAGAAACCCACCTCTCAAATAGTAAATGCTTTTTGATGTCTTTTGCATTAATTTTTGAACATAGATATATGTGGTTAATTCTTCTGTCAAAGTTTTACTAATGCTGACGTTATGCGCATAAACAGGGTTATGATCTTCTAAAACCCAACTGTTATCATTCGTATCGTAATTGTGCCACTTCTTGGATTTAGATAAAAACTTACCCAAAACAAACTCCCATTGTTCGTTTCCAAGGGATCTTTCTGGAACAACCTCAAGATCAAGCATGTTGTAAAAGATTTATGGTATAATTCTGCACTTCATTTATTCAAATGAGAAATATATTTCCCTTGTAACCATATCTTAAACTATGTGTTTACATTTACTCAACATTTACAACGCCATTTTGTTTTTCGTATATGTGCGCATGCGCCGTATATTCTATTTCCGCTTCATGACCGAATTTTTTTGCCAGAACATGAACAACAATTTAATTCGATTTCCCCGAATAGCGCCTCCCATTAAATAATGAGGGGTTTTAAAACAGCAAGATTTCTCACAGGTTGGCCTAATTGTTTATGTACGTTTCAGCTGCCAAGGTCTGGAGAAATTGGCCCAAAAGCTCACATTTTAGTTGGGATAGTGTATGGCAGGCCTTATTATATGCCAATCACCCTGTCCGTCGGTTCGTCCGTCCACAATTTGTTTGTGGACACTCTACGAGTCACAATAGCCTATTTATCCGATTTTGACGAAATTTGAAATATAGGTCTACCTCCAAAAGATCTCGATATTGGCATGTATCGGACCATAACTTCATTCTATAGAGTAATAGAGGTCACAATTTTCATCTGATTTTGATGAAACTTGAAATGCATGGGTTTTTGTAACCACCCAAAGATTTTGGTTGCTTTGGATATTCGCGCATATCGGATGGTAACTTCCTGAATTGTGGCCCCTGATTGTACGAAAAATAGCGTTTTTAGCTTGTGGCCCCTCTAGAGGTCACAATTGTTATCCGATTTAAAAAGACCCTCGAATATATCACTGTCACACCGTAATGTTGGTTGAGTTTGAATTTCGTGAAAATCGGACTAAAACTGCCGAACAAAACGGCCGCCCTCGTACGCATGTACATATCGTATATCAAGGTTGTGCGCCCTCAGCTAGAGGTCACAATTTTGATGAAACTTGAATGTTTATATCCCAAAGATCTTGGTTCCTTTCGATATTTGCGCATATCGGATCGTAAGTTATGGCCCTTGATTGTACAAAAAGTCGCGTTTTTAGCATGTGTTTCCTCTAGAGGTCACAATTTTTTATCCGTTTTAAAAAAAAAACCGTGTGAATATATGACCGTTAATGATGGTTGAGTTCAATCTGATTAAAACACAGATCCTATTTCATTTCGTTTTTTATAGTTCAAAATTTCGTTTTCCTTGTCTTTACTACACTAGGATCTGGAAGACTTGTTATCATTGACGTATTCGGGATGATGTGAGGGATTAGCCAATAAAATATTCTGTTACGGCAAGCTTTTGGCGTGAGCTGCACGGAACTGTGGGTAATCCACTAGAAACATCAATGCTGATTGGTTAATCAAATATCTGACGTCATAGGGTCAAAAGCCACTCGTATGACCTCTGACGCGACCCCCCAAAACAACTGGTCACATCTTCATGTAGTATAACAAGCCAATTACAGTGAGGCTGATGTCCCCCGCCGAAATCCCAAAATAAATAGATGACACATATTAATTAATTGCACATCTATTTTTTTCAAAAGTATCAAGCAATCAAACTGACTATCAACTATACACTAAGTTTCATCACTTTCATCAAAGTAATTTTGTCCTAAAGCATCGACCAATGAAATTGCTTAGCTCTGCATAGTAAGTTCGAAATGTTAATCATTGATCTCAGTAAAGACATTCACTTAATGAACATAAACTGGTTTAGATCATATCTACAAGATCGTACCCAGTCCGTCCTAATCGGTAATGAACTATCAGACAAAACATCCTTGAACTGTGGTGTCCCCCAGGGATAGGTGCTCGGTCCTATTCTCTTTGTGATTTACACCAGCCAAGTAGCCTCTATAATTGAAAGTCACAATCTTTCGCACCATTCGTATGCTGATGACACTCAAATCATAGATAATTTTCCACCAGAGAGTAAAACAGATTCCTATCTCAAAACAGAAAAATGTACACAGCAAATTAAAACCTGGATGACCTCAAATATGCTTAAATTAAATGATGATAAAACTGAAGTAATGATCGTGTGCACAAAACATAATCTACAAAAACTTGATTCATCAACATTAATTATAGCTGACTCTGAAATAATAACTCAAGGTTAAAAATCTTGGCGTCTTTTTAGACTCAAGTCTAACAATGGAAACTCATGTCAACAATCTGTGCAAAATCTGTTACTTTCATCTAAAATCCATCAGTAATATCAGACACCTGCTAACAAAAGATGCTACTCACACACTTGTCCGATCATTAGTGTTTTAGAGATTGGATTACTGTAATAGTATTCTTATTGGTCTAAACCAAAATCTATTCTCTAAACTTCAAGTTATCCAAAACAATGCTGCCAGAATAGTTAGTCAATCATCCAGACGCTCTCACATTAAACCAATATTGAAGGAACTACACTGGTTACCAGTTTGTTCCAGAATTGACTATAAACTTCTTTGTATTGTTTATAGATGTCTTCATGGATCCAGTCCTGCATATCTATCAGAGCTAATAAACCGTTACGTACCACACCGTAACTTAAGATCACAAGATTGGTGCTTATTACAGATTCCAAAGTATAATCTACAAACTTTTGGTTCGAGAACATTCCAATACAGTGCACCTATGTTGTGGAATTCTTTACCCCATCACCTTAAAACAGCTCCATCACTTGAATCTTTTAAAACAAAACTAAAAACTCATCTATTTACCAGTGCATTTTAGCTAGATCTGGATATGTGTGTAAATAGTGATTATAGAGTATATAGTACGCGCCTAGAGCACGCATTTGTAGATGGATTGGCGCTTTACAAATATACATTATTATTATTATTATTATTAACATCTACATCAAGTTGAAATATTCTACCGCAATTAAAAGCAGAGTTGTTATGTTTCAAAGTCTTGACCAATCAAATTGCTTATTGCTCTTTAGCCTAAGCAGAAAATTCTCACCATCTTTTCGAACTTAGTCAAGGTAATGATATAATGAATCTACACTCGGAGTTTCATCATGCCCCAAAGCAGCAATCAATCAGATTGCTTATTTCTGCTTACATTAAGCAGACAATGTTTATCATCGAACTCCATCAAGGCATTCACCTACTGAACGCCTACACCAAGTTTGAACATTCTACCTCAATTAGAATGGAAGTTATTGTGTTCCAAAGTCTCGACCAATCAAATTGCTTAGCGCTCTGCTTACCCTAAGCAGAAAATGCTCATCTTCGAACTCCATCAAGACATGGACGTAATAAACTGCTACACCGAATTTGAACATTCTAGCTCAATTAGAAAGAGCGTTATTGTGTCCTAAAAAGTGTGACGGACAGCCAGACAGACAGGCGGACGGACAGACAGACGGACGACCCCATTTTAATAGTCCCATGCTTTCTTCGAAAGGTGGGGGACAAAAAATGAAACGAAATATAGATCTGTACTTTAATCAGATTGGTTGAGTTCCAATTTCGTGAAAATCGGACCAAAATTGCCGGAAAAATGGCCCGCCCCCGTACGCAAATAGTGTAAAAGAAATATGGTATGTCAAGGTTATGTTTATATCACCAAGATCTTGGTTCATGTCGATAATCGCGCATATCCGAACTTAACTTCCTGGATTGTGGCCCCTGATTGTTCGAAAAATGGCATTGTGGACACGCTATAGAAGTCACAATGTGTATTCAATTCTAAACACCGTTTAAATACATCACCGTTACTTAATTATAACGATTGGTTAATTAGCCTAATGGCGTCGAAAACCACCCTTATATGGATAGTGGAAACTTACACCAGAAGTTTCACACGTGTTATCTTTGTTATTAAGGCTAGAATTAAATGTTTGCCAATTTTTTTATGTTTAATCTGACTTTCCTACAATACATGTATGTGAAACCAATAATTATTTAAAGATATAATATAATGCTATTATTAATTGAAAGAGCAAAAATTCTACCAGTAGTTGTATATTCCTCCCTTTCTTAAGACTTTTTGCTCTGTATTAGGTAAACGATCCCTTGAACCCTCTATAGGATTACATAAGTATACATATAGCACAAATCTCGCCATCGATATTACATTATTTCCCTGTTTTAAGACTTGTGCGATATTATAAGGTAGAAAACTCTTAAAAACTTCCATTTACTGAACCATATACTTATATAATTAGTCATGCAAATATATACGATTAACATACCAGATACAAAAACAACTAAAACTCCAAAGAGTAACTGACGTGTTTCGGTACGTCAGGCCACGCCTTGTCACACCTTGTCACGTCAACAATCAAGTTACACCATGTATTATTTAGTATAGTAAGATCCAATACCTATTAAAGTGGAAAAACCTGTCATTTTGAACTCTTAATAAAACGGGAAGTTATACTTCAAGACCGAACATTTGATATTAATTGTTAGTAGACATGAGGGTCATCATATATGAAAATGTCGAGGGTCCCTAAAAGGTTAGGTCACCAGAAAGAAGTGAAACCGGAAGTAAACGAAATCAAAATTCAAAATCGGTCCCCCAGGGATTGTTGCCATTTGGAGTAGGTTCAAAACAAACAGAAAAGTTTTCAAAAATCGGAATCAAAATGGCGTCCAAACGGTTGAAAATGTTATGGAACAAGGTCTCTGAAAATGAAAGATAATATCTGGGGCTAACACCACCATATGTCATTTTTTGTCTATTTTTAAAATGGAGAGAACTATTCATGTTCGGAAAAAACCGGAAGGCCTCGGTAATTTCCGAAAGTTTCCGGAAGCGGTCACATAATTTTTGAATATGCCATTTTGAAGTCATCGATGTTCTTTATTCCTACCAAGTTTCAACTTGATACCCCAAATAGTGACAGAGATACGCCATCTTGCATGTCGAAAAAATGATGAAGAAAACTTTCGCAAATCTTTGATGCTAATATTAATCACCGTCTTCATTAGCCCAGTAAGAGCAGAGCAGAACAGTGGGACGTTAAACCCCATTTCATTTCATTTTAATATTAATCGAGCGAACTTCCGAATTTCGAAAAACCGTCAGTCAAAGCCCGTATTGAATTCGTCCAAGGAATCTAAAAATGAAAACCCGAAGAAGATCCGTTGAGAAATAACCAAGATATGGACAGTCTGAGATTATTTTTGTCCCATCCGTAAAACACTTCCTATTTGT